CCAGACTCACCCAAGTCGACCACAAGGTGACCTTCCGTCAATTTCCGAGGCTGGAGTATCTGTGGGAGGAGTCAGAAACCCTATCTTTCTCCTGGTGAGTTGCAGGAAGATTTGAACCACTGATTTTTTGAAAAATCAAAACTAGTTACAAACAACAGAACACACATTTCCTTATTCAATTCCTTCTTTCTGTCTATCATCATTTCTGTCTCCACCAAAGCAGGGAGCAAAAGAGCAGTGAAGAAAAAGAGAAAAACCTGTTCATTAACTTGAGTCTAACAGCTGGTCTGTAGAAACTAATAATGAAGGAATTTTCCATGAACCTGTATTCTCCTTTTACATTTTTCTCTTTTAGGTCATTGAAAAGAAATATAAGTCCATTTTTCAAAGCTATGCCAGGAATTGGAGAGTTGTATGATCACATTTGGTTTGTAGATAAATGCTTTCATCTAAACTCTCTGAGCATCTAAACATTAACTATGATTTTCTAGCTCCCAAAACTGAAAAGATAAAGTGGTTGGAATCAGAGAATCAGAGAAATGACAGAAAATATTGGTTTTCTGATTCTTAATCTCCAGCGTAGGTCAATACTCTCTTATCATAATAATTACTTAAAATTTAACAAGTAACTGACATTAAGAGACTACTTTATCACAATAGCAGGCTTCAATATTTTGAAATGATTTGTGGTTATAAACATAGTGCTGAAATATCACTGATCACTACATAAGTAATTGTAACCCAGTATTACAAACAGATCTTACCTGTCTTATTTTTGTACGCTTTCGCCTATCAAAAACCTTTGAACTCCTGAATAGACCATATTTGCAAATAACCTCTGTTTAAGTCTTGTAAGGACTGGAAAAGGTAAATTATTATGGTTTGACTTTGGAGAACCCTTTTGGCTTCTTTTCCTAATAGGTTACATACAGCCTTAATGGTGCAGCAATTAAAGAGCGGAGCTGTTAATGGAGAGGCTGACAGTTTGAACCCTCTGAAGCCTGCTTCTGGAAAAAGAGAACCCTGTGAACTCTGGAGTGGTTCTAACATGCCTACCCTACGGAATCATATGAGTTGGGTTTGTTCTAGGTTATAGGCATCTAATTATCTTTTTAATCTATTTTGTGACTATAGAGTTAAAATTCTGTCCAGTACAGAAGCTGCTAGTCTTCTCTGGATCTTTGTTTTGAAGGAGGATCTTTGTTTTTTGTTAGACATTGCACAATTTCATATCTTTCTAGGCAGACTCCATAGGGCCTTATTCGAACCATAGTGCCCAAGGGTCTAAAATTGTGAAAAACTGGCACTGTTTGAAGCTATTGCTTCTTAAGGAAATTTCTTTAAGATAACTGCATTTTCACCAAGAATATTTTTCAGACAGTGAAAGACAGCAAAAATACTACAGGAGCATTTCCCCCACCAAGCCATGCTGTCAGTCACCTGCCATACCAATTCTACATTTTTACCCTTCAAGTCTATAAAACTATGATCACATTATAATTTACTGAGGAAACAGAGAAAATAGGAACAATTTAAACCTTCTAGGCAAAAATTTCCGTATCTGTAAAAGTGAACTGTTTGACTAAATGGTCTTTGAGGTCTGTAGATAGACAGTTAACATAATCGGCTACTAACTGAAAGATTGGCACTTTGGGTCTACTCAGAGATGCACAGGAAGAAAGGCTACTTCTAAAAAATTAACCATGAAGACCTAGAAGAGCACAGTTATACTATGACACCACGGGGTCACCACAAATCAGAGTGGACTTTATGGAGACTGAGTGTTAGACGGTTCTATGCTTCATTTAACTCCCGACTTCTAGAATTCTAAGTAGACCCTTGCCTCAACCTAACACCTGTGTCAACCCACCTAGTCGGCAGGCTGTTGTTGTTGTTTGTTATGTGCTGTCAAGTCGCTTGTGACGCATAGCGACCCTATGTACAACAGACCTAAACCCTGCTCTATCCTGTGCCAATCGCACTGCCTCTGACACACCCAGGCCGATTATCCCAATCCACCTCATAAAGGGTCTTCCCCTCCTGTACCGTCCCTCCACCCTCCCAAGCATGATGTCTCTCTTCAAGGACCTGTCTCTCCTTACATGTCCAAAGTATGTCAGACAAAGCCCCAGAACCTTTGCCTCCAAGGAGCAGGCTGGTTTAATCCTCTCCAGGATGAATCTCTTTGTTTTCTTGGCAGTCCATGGTATATTCAATATTCTTCTCCAGCACCACAGCTCAAAGGCGTAGGCAGGCAGTAATGAAAAATTAATTCAGTCTATCCACAATTTCCTGGGCATCCTAGAGCAACATCTTTGCACTAGAGAACCCTGCAAGCTTCCTTTGCACCCCCGACTCCACCTGGAATCTGCTTTCTCTTTGCTGTGCAGCATTTTCATATTCTATCGCCAGTGCATTAGGACTTCTTGTAAAGTTGAGGTGTCAAACTCATGGAAGATATTTATGGTTTTCAAAGACTGACCTTAGCACAACCAGGAGTCAGGTCTGATTTAAGCCCAACCAAGATCACATGCATTTTACTTTTCCAGTACAGTTCTTTTTTTCTGTTGTAGCCTATTAATTCACTTTGAGCTTAATTTTTTAAAGTCTTTAAGAGATTCATGCTCTTACCTGAATTCCTACATCAGTGATTCTGGAGCACTCAGACTGAAAAAGTTTCTTTAATCTTTTGTGTCTGGAAAGTGTCATCAAATGATAAAATGATTTTCATATAAGTTAATTAATTTATTTATTTCATATTATTTATTTCATATAAAGAGCATTTTATAATTATGATTCAGGATTCTACGTGCATTTCCAATAAGATAGTGACAATCTGTATAAATTAAAACATTTAACTTGAATCTTATATTTCTATCTATTCAACCACACCAAACGAACAGAGAAAACCACTGCAATTTTCAGGTTGCTGTTGTTTTGCAGTAAATTCCAGAGAATCCCAGAGCCAGAAGAAGTGTTAGATGGTTATTGTCTTGCCCCATATTTCCAGGTACATGTTGTCTGACTTAATGTAAGCAAATCTTCAAGATTACTAGACTTAACCTACAACTTTATCTTGAAGATATTTCATGTGGCTAATGAATCACTTGCCAACAAATCTAAACATTCATCTTCACACAAAAAAATTATAAAACTTTTTAGCTCATTTTCTTGCATTTGATTCCCTGAAATGGGGAATAATAGCTCTTCATATTGTTGTTATTGTTGTTGTTGTTAGAAGCTGCAGAGTCAATTATGACTAATAACAATCTTATGAATGAGAGATCTGAATCTTGTCCTATCCTGTGCCATCCTCATAATCTGTCATGCAGGCTTCATATGAAGGTCTGTAGGTAATTTGCTTTCCAACAGCAACCCTTTTTTCAGATTAAAGGCTTTGTTTTTGATGGTTTTGAAAAAAATTATATGTTCATCCCCTCTAAAGAATGTTAATCATGCCTGCATGAATTCTTAATGTACACGTGTACATTGTGTGTGCATGGTCTCTGCCTTCACACATACAAGGAACTGACTCTTGTGCCTTAAGGATGCCTCCCTCCTGTTTTGCATTCCGTCTCGAATTCCTTGTATAATTCTTAAGATATACTTCCTGCAGCTGGCTGCCTGGGAAAAAGCCAGAAATGGTATGTGAATTTTTACTTTGTGCATATTATTTACAGAATGAGTTTACATTTCATTGGTCTAAAATATGACATTTGAACTACAATTTAAGATGGGTTGTGCTAGATTGGATCCTGGTTTGGATTCTCCCCCCCGCCTTTTGATGCACAGATGCACAGATTAGGCATTAACTCCACCCTTTCATTTTTTTTTGTAAAGAACTCTTGGTCAGAGTGAATGCACTTAAAATGGGCCTGAGCAGAACAACTGTCTAAACAGTGATTTCTAACTTCATTTAATGATTTTGCATGCTACCCCCAAATAAAACCATCCTGTTTTTTCTTTTAATGTTTGAATGTGGATGTGTTTTGTGTTGGGTTTGTTTGGTTTATTGGTTTTTTTTTGTTTTTTTTCAGGCACACATTATGTTTCCTGCCTCGTTATTTGAAACCAAAGAATGATCAAACCCTGTGGAGCTATCTCGTGCGTCTGGGTTCCAGATGTCAGCACTATTGTGCTCACGCTGAAATAATTGGATGAGTCGAGCTATTTCTCCAAAAGAAACCAAACTATTGGAACAAAAACACCAAGTGAGATATGCAGAGTGTCTCATCTCTTTCCACCTGACAATGGCTGAGACTATTTTCTTTTCCTGTGGGGAATTTGTCTGAAGAAACTCCTTTTCAAGTTTTGACTTTCATGTAGCCAAGTCGGGATTTTTTTACAATGAGCTGTAAACGCAAGGCATGTCTTAAGTATGATTTTTAACAGCCTATATACTCTTGGCTATTTTATTCAGTATTAAAAGGAAAATGTTAATGTTCTGTCATTGCAATTATTCATTAAAAATGAAGGCTTCTAAATGGAATCAATCAGCCTCATTAGCCATTAATGTTGTTATGTGCCACTGAGTCACTTGTGTCTCATAGTGACCCTATGTACAACAGCTCTGAAATCTGCTCTATGCTGTACCAACTTTACTGTCTCTGACACAACTACACTCATTAGCCCAGTCACTGTATGCATCTCATCGATGGTCTCCCTCTCTTTCTCCATCCCTCCCCCCTTCCAAACATGATATACCTGTCCAAGGACTGGTCCCTCCTTCTAACATGCCCAAAGTATATCAGACAAAGCTTTAGAATCCTTGCCTCCAAGGAGCAGCCTGGTCTCACCCTCTCTAAAATGAACCTGTTTGTTCTCTTGGCAGTCCATGGTATATTCAACACTCTTCTCCAGCCCCTTTCTCCAGATTCATAGGGTTTCCAGAGGCAAGCTATTATAGAAGTGAATGCCACTCCTGCTTCCAAGCTTGTTTTAATAGGGATCGCCACCAAACACTGTCCGCTATGGGTAACCATTGACATGTTTGACACATCAGTGACACAGTGTTTTTAGCTTCACAGCAACCACAAGTTACCTCTGTGCGGCAAGTGGACACACCAGGCCTATACGACCTAGAAGAATGTTTGAACAAAAACAATGAAAAACAGGCCTGTGGGCCACAGGCCTGAGGGCCCTTCTGTATTTTACCATTCTGGCTCACCCAAATGCTGGCAACCTCTGGACTAGATACCTCCAGTTCATCTGGCAAGTCTGCTCTGCCGACACCCACTTGTGGTAAAAAGAAAGCCACAAGCACCCGAGCATTCCATCCCTGGTGTGTCCACTTGCCATACAGAGGTAACCTGTGGTTGCTGTGAAGCTGAACACTGTGACACTGATGTGTCAAATCATTAATAGTTACTCATGATGGACAGTGTTTGGTGGCGCTCCCCAATTAAAAGAAGCTTGGAAGCAGGAGTGGCATTCACTTCCGTAATAGCTTGCCTCTGGAAACCCTATGAAAGGATGAAAGTCACACAAGTGTTGAGGACTTTCATTCATAGGGTTGCTATGAGTTGCCTATGACTCAACAGCACTTAAAAACAACAACAACAACAACAACAACAACTTCTCCAGCACCACAGCTCAAAGGCATCAATTCTCTTTCTTTCATTCTTAGTCGTCCAGCTCTGTGATGCATAGCAAGCGTTAGCCACTAGGGAAGGAACTAATCAAAACCACTATGACATACTGCTCTACACCTACTAAGATTCTATAATAAAAGAGACAAACAATAACAAGTATTAGTGTGGATATAAAGAAATTGGCCATCTCATGCATGTAAGCATGTGAAATGGTACAGATGCTTTGGAAAAGAGTTTACCAGAATCTCAAATAGTTAAACATAGAACTACTATATGATCCAGCAATTCCACACCTACATATGTACCCAAAAGAAACAGAAATATATGTTTATACAAAAACTGGTAAACAAATGTTCATAATAGCTGGAAGACCATCAGTTAATGATGGGTGAATCAGAATATAATATGGTAAAATACTATCTAACAATTTTTAAAAGTACCAACAGATGCTGCTATTCATAAGGTTTTCAAGAATATTGCCTTCAGTATGAATTGCACCTCAAAATAAAGAAAAGAAAAATCCTCACCACTGGATCAGTAAACAACATCATTATAAATGGAGAAAAGAATGAAGTTACCAAGGATTTCCTTCTATATGGAGCCACAGTCAACACTCATGGAAGCAACAGACAAGGAAGCAAAAGATGTACTACACTGGGCAAAAATGCTGACAAGGACCTCGTGAAACTACTAAAATGCCAAACTGTCGCAAAGTATATAAAATCTAGCTGCTACTCAGGAGCAGTGATTTTTAAAAGGACTACATAATTTGGCAGAGACTGGAGAACATTATGCTGAGTGAACTAACTCAATCCCATAAGGACAAATACTGCATAAGTATTATTGTAGAAAGAAAAAGATAAGTAGTAAAATGTGTATGAGGATCCAAAGTAGGAAGGGGGAGACATAAGGGTGAGGATTGGGGGGGGGTGGAAAAGATAGGGTCGCACAATTTTGTTGATAGAGGAAAGAGCATAAAGGAAATGGGAAAGATCTGGTGGGAATTAGAAAAGACAGGGTAATGGTGGGCATAGTTCAATGGTGATTAATTTTGTTGTTGTTATTGTTATGTGCCATCGAGTTGCTTGTGACTCATAGTGACCCTATGTACAACAGCCCTAAACTCTGCTCTGTCCTATGCCAATCGCACTGTCTCTGACACTCCC